CCCGCTGGTCTATAAAATACCTTGTAAAAACTTGTTTTTCTCAATTAAATCGCTTTTAAATTTGTCATTTATTAATATGTTCAAAATATTTAACAACTTAAGTTTGAAATTATGACAAATGTGTCGTGAATTATCAGAATAATTTATATAAAATTGATTGGGAGTGCATGTACTGGAAAAATTAAACCATATATTAATCCATTCGAATAGTTCAGCCTGGACTAACCAGGGCTATTAGATTTCTTAAATTTTTATTCTATCGAGTTTTGGTAAAAAATTCAACAATCTATAATCTTAAATCTATATATATATACTTTGCTTGTCTGTCTGTTTGTTTGTCTGTCCGTTTGTATCCAATAAACGTCAAAACCGCTGAACTGATCGGGCCCAACTTTTGTGTGGGACCTCACATGACCCTAGGGAAGGTGTATGGACCATCAAAATTGTAAAAAACTATTGAAAAGAATGTCGACGTTTATTTTCTTTGAAAATGTGCCAATTCGAACAGAAAAATCCGCCAAATTTTAAAATGATTAAAATGGCCGACTTTAGGAGTTAAAAGCTAAAATTGTTAATAGAAACGGGGCGCGAAGTGACCTTGAAGGCCTTAAAAGGCATTACCCGACAAAAAAGAGAAGAAGCGAAAAAGTTTAATTTTACACCAATGCAGCCTTTTAAACATTCACAAAATATTGACGTAATTGTATCGACATAATACAATACAAAATATTGACGTAATTGTATCGACATAATACAATACAAAATATTGACGTAATTGTATTGACATAATACAATAAAAAATATTGAGGTAATTGTATCGACATAATACAATACAAAATATTGACGTAATTGTATCGACATAATACAATAAAAAATATTGAGGTAATTGTATCGACATAATACAATACAAAATATTGACGTAATTGTATCGACATAATACAATACAAAATATTGAGGTAATTGTATCGACATAATACACAACAAAATATTGACGTAATTGTATCGACATAACACAATACAAAATAAGTTTTTAAGTGCAAATGGATGACCAGTGACCAGCGAAAGCGTTACGGTAACTATTTATATTTAATATACATTTTTCAAAAATGTCTTTTCGAAATGTACTTTAACCAAAAATCTGCTTGACCTATCGTTGAAATTACAAAATAAAACAGAATGGTGTTACATAAAGAGATATATATTTGATATATTTTGTCAGATAAGATTAATAAAATTATGTTTCTCGGTAGAAATGATGAGAGTAAATTCGTTTCTTTTTAGGTTTCATTTGCTTCTTTTTATGATGATGGTGCCCGGGGAGATGATGATGGTGTCGGTGCGGGTTTCTCCTATTCTCCTGTCTCTTCACCCTACCCGGAGTATGCATCCTAGTAGTCAGATACTTTATTAACTTGGATACTGCATATACGTCCTTCAACTTGATAGGAACTGGATATTCGTCCTTTAAGGAGCTAGAAACAGGATATACGTCCTTCAAGGAGCTAAAACCCCGATATTCATCCTTAGTGGAGCTGGATACAGGATACACATCCTTATTGGAGCTGGATACAGGATACACATCTTTAGTGGAGCTGGATACAGGATACACATCTTTAGTGGAGCTGGATACAGGATACACATCCTTAGTGGAGCTGGATACAGGATACACATCCTTAGTGGAGCTGGATACAGGATACACATTCTTAGTGGAGCTGGATACAGGAAACACATCCTTAGTGGAGCTGGATACAGGAAACACATCCTTAGTGGAGCTGGATACAGGAAACACATCCTTAGTGGAGCTGGATACAGGAAACACATCGATTTTGGAGGTGAAAACGGCATTTCCCTTTAAAGACAAGGTTAGCACTGATAAAGTGTAGAGCAGTAACATGACGAGGTTTATGTGAATAAAAACAAAGTTGTAGTTGGGATAACTCCAGAGTGTGGTTAGATAACGGAATCAGATAACTCCAGTGTATGGTTAGATAACGGAATCAGATAACTCCAGAGTGTGGGTAAATAACGGAATCAGATAACTCCAGAGTATGGTTAGATAACGGAATCAGATAACTCCAGTGTATGGTTAGATAACGGAATCAGATAACTCCAGAGTGTGGGTAAATAACGGAATCAGATAACTCCAGAGTATGGTTAGATAACGGAATCAGATAACTCCAGTGTATGGTTAGATAACGGAATCAGATAACTCCAGAGTGTGGGTAAATAACGGAATCAGATAACTCCAGAGTATGGNNNGGGGGGGTTGAGCGATAAGTTAAGATTTAAAATTTGGGTTCGATGATGATCCAAGTAGATATTAATTAGTTCCACATTTTCTGGAAAATATTTCCCGGTCTGGGTTGACCCTCTTCAGTTCTTGAGAATTGTTTCTGTCTTGAAGATTTAAAACAAAGAAACGGTAAAGCTACGTCTGTTTATGTACAAGGTATCCCACGAAACATGACAGTTAAAAGACCACTTAAAGATCGTCTTTGTTCTTTAAAATAATTTGCGGCATATCTGTGTCAGCCTACGTTTACATTTATGATTTTTGGAACCCTAATAAAAATGTCATATTCTTGGCATTTATAAAATGTGGTCTGCCTTTTGTGTAAAATTTCAAAAGTTAAAAGTATTAATATCAGTTATGATGTAAATATGCTTTCTCTATCATTTAAACCAGAATGTCGTCTTTCTTAAAAGTATATTTCAAGCTTAAGCTGAGACTGCAATGCCTTAACTGGGAGTTTCTTTACAGAGGGGGGGGGGGGCAGAGCTCCCACTCCTTAGACAATTTCATAATTCTAATGTAGCTCGATTTATAATCTATTTATTAAATATAACTGTTTTATTAACTATTATTAGAAAATAATTAAATAATTTGTTTTTGAAACCATTTTCAATTTTAGCAACTTTATCATTGTATCTTCAGAGTCTCAAAAAAACAGTAATTTCAAGGCCTCAAGTTTTCACGGAATTTTTTTTCGGAGATCTTAGAAACATTTCCGATTTAATGGCACAAAAAAATCTTGTTTAATGTTTGTTGCAAATATTTTACTAGGTCAAAGTTAGGAAAATCCTCTGATGCCTTACAATTTTAATCAGAGTTCAGTTTTCAGTCATTTTTTTTATACCTAAACATTTGAAGACACCTAAACATTTGCCATGTAATGCAATTTGCAATTTGCAAGACGTTAAAGAAAAACTTTAATCGTAATCATAATTTCCTTAAGCTTTTACTTTTTTATCTAATAGAATTTACAATTAGAATTATGTAAGATCTATGACATCTGTTTGCAAAGATAAAAGGATTAGAAAATCAGAAGGAAGAACCGACCAATTGGTTTTTTGACCTGATTTGGTCTGAAATTCAATAGGTACGTTGCTGCCATGCACGGTTGGAAACCTACCTCTCAGATTTAATAAAGAATCTCAAGCTGGGGTTTGAAGAGTTATTTCCTAATAAAATTCTTCTTGAAGAGAGGATACAGAGAAACCCTTGAAAGAGGTCTTTGGTTTTATTTTATACTATACGCTTGGAATCCAGTTTTGCCAAGAAATCAACTTTTATAAAAATAAAAGTTAATTTACAAAAATTAAAATTTATAACAAACCAAGATCGTTCCCGTGGTTCTACCGAATTTAATAATCAAAATTTGAGACAAATTAGTCAAGGAATTCCTAAGTTATGATCTTACACGAAAACAAACAGACAAACAGACAAACAAATTTTTATTAAAGAAGGATTGCTGAATGAATGCTAATCAAAGATATTCCTGAGAACGTTTATGCCAGGAAATCCGGGGTTCTTGTAAACCAATTGAGTTGTTGCCACAAACTCACATTTTCTAATAATCACGATATCTTCGCAACTTAATGGTGTAAACCTTTGATATTTCATACTTAAATCAAACATAATTTATAGTTCGAAATATTTAAGGTCCACGGCATTGGGTTGCAAAGAAATACAGTTTGTGACAAATCTTAATTTCTTTGACGATTTTCTTTTTATCTTAAAAAGAGACAATATGTCGAAAATTTTTAAATTGATAATATATTAAATTTATCATTTTAAAAGCTTGTCTTATCATACTAAACAAAACAATGTACGAAATATCGAAATATTCACGAAAGGAATTGAGTTTTGGCCATTTACTCTGATTTCTAATCCATATACATTGTGTCTCTGAAAAAAGTGTGATTCAGCTTTTTCGCCCACTATTCACAACACGTTGTTTTATTGTACTAGAATGTGTTACTAGAAGTTTAAATGCCATTTTAACCTTCTTCACAAGTAAAGCTAAATACTAAATAAACTCAGTCTCTTTTCCAAAGATTTTGGTACAGAAACTGCGTAGAAAGGTCTTATTTCTCATCCTCCTTTTTAATAATTTATCCAGGGTTAAAAACTTTTCTTCGGAAAGACTTTCTCCTTCTCTCTTTATACCCCCCCTTTCTCTTTCCTTCCTGCCCCCCCCACTTTAAAAACAAATATAAAATATTTAAGACACTTTCCCATGAAACCTTTTATGTATACAGGGATACCCACACAAGATGAGACTTTAACACGATATGAAACATGAAAATAATAAATCAAATTTCTTTTAAGGTTTTCCTAAACTGATAAGGGCTCAGTTTTAATATTTTATTTAAGATCTGTCGAAAAAACATCACTCCTGTATGCCGAGTCCATTAGCACCTGATCCAATCAGGGTTCAGGCATGTGTTTGTTGTTAAACCAATAGAAATAGTATGGCGGTAACATCTATCTTTCTGTCTATCTCATTATCCAATAAGATATATATATGAATCCTACAATCGGAGCTATCAGTAAATGGAAATATTTACTTCTACTGAAACTATGACATACTGAACGTGTAATGTTTAAAAAAAAATGTTAAAAAAGGATGTAAGGCAAGGAAAGTCATTTCAGAATTGTACACATCTTTAGTACTGCAGTGTACTGTCTCTGGGCGCTAATGAAAAACACAAGACGGATGTCGAAGCCTGACATGGGATCCATCGTTCACATAAAAAATCAATGAAATATTCTGGACATAGGAAATTGTTATGTGAATTATCAAAATTATAAAAATTTAATGCTTTTAACCTCCTCGGATACTAAACGAACACTGATGCATCTATTATTGTTTACAAATTCCGCCCAGAGAGAACTGGTTTCAATATGTACACAGAGTATACACAACCGCAATTGACTTTCCTTGCCTTACATTCTTGAAAACGTAAAGCCTATCAAATAAAACATTTCTAAATTATGAATAGTTAATGGAAATAAGTTTTTCCCCGGACTGCATAGAAATAAGATTTGTCAAGTTTTGACGACAGTTCGGAATTTCTTCAGATTTGTTATAACATCTATCGGTCCGGGCAGATGTACATGATGTTCATTTCCTTTGAAAAATCATTTAATATACCTTTAATTAACCTTTAAGTTGTAAGGTTTACAGAAATCAAGGTCATCATTAAGTCTTATGTGGTTAACAGAGCTTTACCTTAGAAAAGGTTAGGCAGGGTAATGCCCAATCTAAATCAAAGAGTTGCATTTTAAATTTGATATAAATTATTTATTTGGACAATTTGAAGCTTTATTTTAACAATTAAAACATCTCCAGAAGATTACCTCAAAGGGTAAGACGCACGGTAAATACTACGGCGCGGTGCAAGGAACATCTACGATACCAGGTTGCAAAGAAATATGGATTAGAAAGTTTGAGTTTGTGGCCAGAAATCAAATCCTCAGTGCCCGAATTTAAAGAATTTGAGCGGCGGTTTAAATTCAAGCCGCGGCTTAAATATGGATGGTTCCACTTAAAATTGTATTAAATGTTTCAAGATTTAAGCCGGCGCTTAATTTAACCCGGGTTTTGGCGGATTTAAACCGCGGCTCAAATTCTTTAAATTTCATCTCAGGCTAGATAAAAATAAAGGTAGCAATTAAACCAATTGTAACTTATTTAGAATAAATATCAGGCTTATTCTTGAGTCTGCAATAAGAGCTAAGAATGATTGCTGTGATTTCAGCCTTCAGATAGTGAAACTAAACTATCTCTAATCATTCAAAATTATTTATCAAGTCCCTTAAAAAATATATTCTTTATCCTGTGAAATATATCTGAAATTAATGAAAGTTTTTGCCATAAAGTCAATTTTTTCAATCCCTATATCTTTGCAACCCAATGTTTAAATTCCTTATTTCAAACTATGAAATTATTTAGATCTTTCAAACTCTCAAATATGGTTTTCTTCAGGTTGAACAGAAATAGGGATGAATTAAATTCAGGAGCAGCGTATAGTTTATCTATCTATATCATCTATGTTTGATTCATACCCTGACCGGCCCGACCGGTCAATCTTTTTTACCTGTTATCAATAAATTAGTGTACAAAATCAATCGTTGTTTTAGACGGACGTTATAGCCAGGATAGGCTAGGAATCCAGTCAGGATTGACTGAAGAATTAAAGTTAGAGACAAGTATTTAGAGAATTCTCGGGACCTAGATTGTTAAAGGGATTAGAAAATTATAGTTTGTGGCAGGAACTCTGGTTCTTTCTGTACTTGAACTTAGTATACAAGTTTTGAATGTCGTCTTGCATACACTGTCTTGGATATTAAAGAGTGTTTGCAGTTTATTTCGTTTAAAAGATCTTTTGGTCAAGTATATTTTACTTTGAAATTATTTTTACTTTAATATGATTCCTATTTAATATTTTTGTTATTGTCTTTGGTATTAAACAACTTAACAAATTATGGAAGAAGACATTCTAAACTATTCACCAACTGTCATGTTTCGTGGGACACCCTGTATGTAATTGTCTACTTGATGATTGTCAGCTATATAATTGTCTGCTATATGATTTTCTGCTCTGATGATTGTTTGCTATATGATTGTCTGTTATTTGATTGTCTGCTATTTAATTGTCTACTATATGATTGTCTGCTATGATGATTGTCTGCTATATGATTGTCCGCCATATAATTGTCTGCTATGATTAGTGCCTGCTATGATGATTGTCTGCTGTGATGATTGTCTGCTATATATGATGATGATTGTCTGTTATATGATTGTCTGCTATGATTACGACTGTCTGCTATATGATTGCCTGCTATATGATTGCCTGCTATATAATGGTCTGCTATGATGAGTGTCTGCTATGATGATGATTGTCCGCTATAATGATCTTGTCTGCTATGATGATTGTCGAGCTATGACGGGTGTCTGATATGATGATTGTCTGATATGAGGATGATTGTCTGCTCTGATGATGAGTGTCTGCTATGATGATGATTCTCTGCTATGATGATTGTCTGCATGTGAGTTTGTTGGTTGTATTCCGTCTGCAAGCCCTCTGTTGCTCTCACGGAAGACCTCTGAACAGTCAAGGCCAGCTGATCCGACCAATGAGAGAAGAGATCTGTGACATCACTCTCCTCTGATTGGTCGAGGACTCTGTAAAAGGCCTAACTCTCTATCATACAGTGTTTTACTCTTCAAATATTTACCAAAGCTTTGCTTTAGATTCCAGTGATATCCGTCTCTTGGGCGTATTAAACTTTATATTAATCTAATACTGTAATCAACTCAGTGCTATAGTGACGCAATTTTAGCCAGGATTAAGAGGCAGGTTGCGTACATTCAGGTAATTTGAATTATTTGCATCTGTTTGTGCGACATTACGCACAGTATTGCGTCAAAACAAAGTTTTACATTGAAAACAGCTGAAACTAGAAATTCCAACGAAATATATAAAATTACAGAAAATATACTCTTGTATAATTTCGTCATGTGAAATAACAAAAACAAAGAAATTTATCTACATTTATATTTATTTAAATATTCAATACTAAAATTACAAAATAATAAGAATAAGATCAAATAAATAATTTTACAAGGAAACGAACGGGACGTTTTTGTGAACAAAAAGCATGAGCTAAATTATAGAATTTCTAATTAAAAACCTGTACTGTACTATACTGCACTGTAGTGTGCTGTGCTGAACTGTTTTCTACTGTACTTTACTTTACTCTACTGTGCTGTATTGTACCAAATTTTACACTTCCAGAACATGCTGTACTGTACTGTACTGTACCATGTACTTCATTGTACTATACTGTACTTTACTGCAATTTACTGTTCTGTATTGTACTGTACTGTATTGTACTGTACTTTACTGTACTGTATTGTACTGTACTGCACTGCACTGCACTGTATTGTACTGTACTATACTGTACTGTACTGTACTGTACTGAACTGTACTGTACTGTATTTTACTGTACTGTACTGTACTATATTATACTGTAATGTACTATACTGTACTGTACTGTACTGTACTGTACTGTACTGTACTGTAATGTACTATACTATACTGTACTGTAATTTAATATACTGTACTGTACTGTACTGTACTATAAATTAATGTACTGTACTGTACTGTACTGTAATGCACTGTGCTGTACTGTACTGTGCTGCACTGTTCTGTATTGTACTGTACTGTATTGTACTGCACTGTACTGTATTGTACTGTACTGTACTGTACTGTATTGTACTGTACTGTATTTTACTGTAATGTACTGTACTGTACTGTACTGTACTTTACTGTACTGTAATGTGCTGTACTATAATTTGCTGTACTGTAATGTACTGTAATTTACTGCACTGTACTGTAATGTAATGTACTGTACTATAATACACTGTACTGCACTGTACAGCTCAAAGTAACCGCAATTGTTTGCTGAGTGAGGAATAGGAGTCTTGTTCCATCCTAAAATATATATGTTTAAGAATTGAATTTTGATGAGAATAACTTTTTAACCAGTTTAAATTTTCATAATCATTTTATTTCTCTGATAAAGGAGAAATAAGATTGAAAACAATTTCATTCGAATTTTCAAAATCAAATTTTTGTAAATGTTTGACCACGGTGCGGTACGGAAAAAAACGACCAAGTTTGACATTTTAAAGGTTTCCACCATCAACCATGTTACAAAGATATTAGAATTGAGTCTAGGGCCATTGTTCAGTTTCTTTCGGAACATTTCCAGAGACAGTGAAAAAAGAGGATGAACTCCTTAAATATTTTTAATTCCTTACAAATAATAATAATCACCAAAACATCCAATATATCTATTTACAAACCTGATTACTAGTTTACCCTTGTGCCCCCCTCCAGCTAGAGATCTAAACGCCAGTTCTACTTGATCCATACTGAATATTCTCTCCCCAACCTAGAATACAATCCCTTCTATCTGATCTATATTGAATATTCTCTCTCCAACCTAGAATACAATCCCTTCTATCTGATCCATACTGAATATTCTTTCCCCAACCTAGAATACAATCCCTTCTATCTGATCCATATTGAATATTCTCCCTCCAACCTAGAATACAATCCCTTCTATCTGATCCATACTGACTATTCTCTTTGCAACCTAGAGTACAATCCTCTCTATCTGATCTGAATATTCTCCCTCCAACCTAGAATACAATCCCTTCTATCTGATCCATACTGACTATTCTCTTTGCAACCTAGAGTACAATCCTCTCTATCTGATCCATACTGAATATTCTCTCTCCAACCAAGAATACAATCCCCTCTACTTGATCCATACTGAATATTCTCTCTCCAACCTAGAGTACAATCCCCTCTATCTGAGCAATACTGAATATTCTCTCCCCAACCTAGAATACAATCCCTTCTATCTGATCCATACTGAATATTCTCCCTCCAACCTTGAATACAATCCCTTCTATCTGATCCATACTGAATATTCTCTCTCCAACCTAGAATACAATCCCTTCTATCTGATCCATACTGAATATTCTCCCTCCAACCTAGAATACAATCCCTTCTATCCGATCAATACTGAATATTCTCTCCCCAACCTAGAATACAATCCCTTCTATCTGATCAATACTAAATATTCTCTCCCCAACCTAGAATACAATCCCTTTTATCTGATCCATATTGAATATTCTCTCCCCAACCTAGAGTACAATCCCCTCTGCTTGATCCATATAATGAATATTTCATGTTAAACCTAAAATTCAATTCTTTAATTAATTCTTCTTGAATCTTGATCCATATTTTAAATATTCTTGTTCCTAGAAGTCCATGGATAAGTTAAAATCAGATTTAATCAGTTAAATTAAAAATACAGGAAGAGGCAATTGGAGCAAATTCTTGGGTCAGAGAATTTGACTTAAATACAGCCCTGTTTGTTGCCCTTTTTCGTATGACTTTACCACGAAGAAATCAAGGCTTTGCCACGAACTCAAATTGTCTTACTTTGCAACCTGATCTTGTAAACCTTTGATATTTTAAACTTAGATGATTAATGCTAACGGAATTCATACCTAAGGTCTATGACAATAGGTTGCAAAGATATAGGGATTGAAAAAATAGATTTTGTGTAGATTTCTCTGATTGGCTGTTCCGGTTTCTCCGAACGCCACTCGATACGTTGAATTATATACACTTTTGGGGATACAAATTTAAGATTAAATTAATCTTGAGATTAATAAAAAGCATTGATCTCGATATCCACAATTCTAAAGTTTTCAGCTCTGATGATGTAAGCCTGCAACATCATCTTGTTAAGAAATAAATATTAGAAAATTAGAATATGAGAGAACAACCATTTTTTAGTTGTTTAATGTCGTCTTCTATTCTACTTTTGTTAACATGAACTGAGGCCCATATTGAATTACCGGATCTATTAGTCCCTGGTCAACTAGATCTGAGATGTATTCTAGAACCTCTCCTCTGAACCTTGTCTCAATCCAAACCTAAACAATTTATAAATAACTAGCTGAAGTGACTGGCGTTGTCCGTGGAAGTTTTGAAAAAAAACGAATTTTGAAGAAAAATAACGATTTGAAAAAAATTTCAATTTTGTAGCCTTTGGTAACCCCAAGAAACCCATATGGGTTCAAAAAAAACATAGTCCTTTCGGTCCAGCCATTTGGCCAGCTATAGCTTACATATAAATATATAAACATGAGCGAAGAGATTAGCTTGGGAACCTTTCCCTTGAAACCAAGTTTACTCTACAAGAGTCAATTTATTCAACTAAGAACTTTTAAAACTAGCTAACAATCCTTGCCTTGGTTCTAGAGAGTTCCCCAATCAAAATTTGTGGCAAATCGGTTTTTGGGTTCCGGAGTTATGATCGGACATACAAACAAATATCAGAGATTACTACTTTATTAATATAAATTTAATATTTTTGTTTCTATATGGTTTTGCGTGAAGTCTGATGGATTGCTAGTTCTAATTAATTGTGCGGTTTTGACTTTTGAATTTTGACATGCACCTTGAGACTTTTTGTTGATACCTTAAAATATTCAAGAAAGGAACTGAGTTTTGCCCCTAACTCTGATTTTCTCATATATCTTTGTAACCTGATGTCGTAGACTTTTATTATTTTAAACTATAACTTTTTTTAGATAAAATGGTCTAGCTTTGAAGATTAAAGGTTTACACCATCATGTTGCGAAGATATTGGGATTAGAAAATTTGAGTTCGTGGCAATAAACTGAATTGCTTTCAGCAGAAAAACTGAAAAATCTACAACCTCTGTACATTCATAAATATCTTTGATTTGTCTGTTGAACAGTGGCGCAACTAGGGGGGGGGGCGAACCAAGTTTCCCCCCCCCTCAGCATATTTCGCTCCCCTCTCGCGCCCCCCCCTCACTTGACTCTAGCATGATCATGATTGTGAACCATCTGTTATCAAATTTTGTCAATTAAGAAAAAACACTAAAATTTTTCTTTGACGCTTTGACTTGAAGAAAGTCAGTCATGATTAATCTATCCTCTCAAAAAACCTGTATATTTATGTTACTTCACATGAGTATTACAATACAAATATCATTCAAGGTTAAACAAAACCTGACAACCTAAGAAGAATACCAAGAAATATTAAAAAACTAGGCTTTTAAGGCGCTTCGCGCCCATCTCCTATTACAACTTTCTCTCTTTGTCAGTATATATATATACTGTATATATAATACAAAAACAAAAAAAATTTGCGGATTTCATAATAATTTTTCGCGCATTTTCAAAATTTTACAAAAATAAAAACTTAAAAACACAATTTTTTGAAATTTTGATCATTCATAAACCTTCCCTGGGGTCACGTGAGGTTCCACACATAATTTGGGGCTGATTGGTTTAGCCGTTTTGACCTTTATTGGATACAAAAAAACAAACAGACAGACAAGAAAAGTATATATAAAGACAATAAGGACTATATCGGATTATTAGGACTTTTGCAAACTATAAGAGGAAAACAGGGTAAGCCCTTTACTGGCAACCAAGGGCAGTGGGACTTCGATCAGAAAGACTATTATGAATTATGGACAGACTAAATATAAGTACTGCCAGGAACTATTTACTACTTAGGACTGCATATGGACTATATGGTGGAGAATATGACTAGGATGAACTACAAAAAACTGCTGTAGACTGTAAGAGAGACTTTACATCGTGATGAATATGACTAGGATGAATTACAAAAGACTGATGTAGACTGTAAGAGAGACTTTATATCGTGATGAATATGATTAATCCAGGGACTAACATGATTTATTAATTAACTCATGTCGTTAATTTTCAACATTCTAACTATATAACAAGATCCAGGTATAATATTATGATATCCCACAGATCTTTCTATAATATGATCCTCCAGTAATCAAATGCGTAACCAGCAGTATCGTTCTATAGAATAAAAGATTTTGTTTTGAAGACTGGAAAACAAAAGAAGATGAATTGTCTTTTGTAGTTTGGAATATTCTCTTATAAACTGTACAAAAGATCGAGGTTCTACAGAGAGCACAGTAAAATAATTACATAATTATCTTAAAACTAGTTTGGGAACCCAGCGCTGCCCAGGTTACTAATTTACTCCCGCCGTTTACCCGTTTACCCGCACTTGAACAATTTTACCAAGAAACTAAATTTTTGCTATAAAGTCGCACCACTCAACGTGTTCCTTAATCAAAATTTGAGGAAAATCGGTCAAGAGATTCTTGAGTTATGATCGGACAAACAAACAGGCAGACAGACAAACAGAGATTACAACTTTAAATATATAGATATACAATTTTTTCAACTTTAAAGGAACTGTAGACGTAATTTCAAATGACTCTATTTATAGAGTTAATGTCTGATCCGCAATGGTTTCCTTTAAGTCGATTTTTATGCATCGCTTTGGTTATTTATGTTCTTGGCACACACAATAATATTCAAATTCCTATATCTTTGCAACCCAAGCTTCAGATTTGATTTATGGTATTAAAATAGGACGTTTAATTTAATTTGATTCAACCCAATCTCGAAAACCTTAGATATTTCAATCTATGAATTATCTGTTAAATCAAATAGCCTAAGTTTGAAATATCAAAGGTTTAAATCACCAGGTTGTTAAGGTATAAGACAGTTTGAGATATTGTCAAAAACTCAATTTTTTCCATTTTTTTCCATATGAAGATGTTATTGTAAACTCTTTCTCAAAGCTTGTTTTGCCCTTAAAATAAAACCCTGCTCGATAGTTCTGAGGGGGGGGGGTGTTTAAATGCAGGGTGTTCCACGAAACATGACAGTTGGTGAATAGTTTAGAATATCTTTTTCCATAATTTGTTAAGTTGTTTGATACCAAAGATCAATAAAAGTTTTATATGTGAGTCATGTTATATTAAAATTGATTTCAAAGTAAAAGATAATGAAGCAAAAGGATTTTTTAACTAAAAATAACGATTTATTGAATGTCATGTTTAGTGGGACACCCTGTATGAAGAAATTAAAGTTGTTGATTTTTTTATAAAATTATTGTTTTCATCTACTTAATAATTGTCTGCTAAACAGAATAATGTATACTGTACTGGGTAGTAGGTACACTGTTAAGTAAGCACTATAGGCAGAAAATATATTTTACACAGAAAAATGGTGAGTATCTTCTCGAAAAAATACTAGGTATAAAAAGAAAAAAAAATACAAAACTAACGTTAATCCCGGAATACAGGGTTTCTTTTTAAGAATAATATAAGTTTTGCGGAATTATTTTTTCAGGTATTATATGTACGTTTAAATTAGAAAAAGTCCTTAATAATTATTTATACCTACATTATTTGGAAGTTAAGGGAATTTTACTTTACGAAGGGTTCCCAAGACCAATTTTACAAAAACATCCAGAGCTCAGCGAGGGATGTTTTGATGGCAAAATTGGTCGAGAAATTGTTCCAAGGGACGAAATGTAACTTAACTTCCCTCTTTTGGGGGAATCATGAGTCGGCAATATTGGTCAAAAGGCGGTAAAATATTTAACCTACCCTCTCCTCTCCAATTAGATTACGTTGGAACAAACCAACAGCAGAGTTTATCAGTCTTGCAAGTATACTTGTAAACAAACCGTGCCTAAACATGATTTTTCTTAATTAATCTTTTTAAAAAAGTTTTTTAATTAATATAATTTTTTGAAAAATGAAAATTTTTTAAAATGAGTTTTGCATTTCAAAAAGCAATTTAAATAGTTATTTATACATTCATTGATGACAACCCAAAATATTTATTCCCAAACATATATATTTGCTATTTGTGTGCGTTATCTGTACTGCCCACTGTACAGTGTACAGTATACACTATGCAGTAGTTTAAATATCTAAGTACAGGGCAAAGTTCAGAAAACATTTTGTAGAAATAGTTTTACCCCTGAAAAACGCCATTTAGGAAAAGTAAATTAAAAACAGTTTACCTTATAGCTTTATTTGTTTTCCTTAAAAATTATACAAAATTAAATTCATTTCTCAAAAAAAAAAAAATAAGAAGAAAAAAATTATCTTTTCTCAGATTTTTTTCTACTTAGCAGTGATTTAAAAATTTAGCCAAGGTCAGAAAGAAAATTCACTTTATTAAAAAGAAATAAAAAACTAATTAAATTTCTTCAGCACTAAAAACTTTTTTTTCTCTGGTTTCTAAATAGATGCAAGAAAATTGAACTTTAAGAAAAACACCCACAAAAGATGAGACTGCAGATTTAACCTTGCTGACATAAATGATTTCATGGATCTGTTCTTTGTTTCTTTTTTGTCAAATTAATAAAATTATCCTTCAAGACTGAGGATCAAATTAAAGAGTAGATGGTCGTCGTTTAAGTCAAACCCTTTGTGGGTAACCCTTTATCTACTAAAGTTTAAAGAGATTTCAAATCATTTTCAATAGATATTAAGACCGTCATGATTTTTTAATTTTCCCAAAAACAAGTAACGTCTTATCATAAACACATATAATCCGTAAGACTTACCAGACAAACCATTTTACCTAATAATTTATTTTATAACTCTAAAATCTATTAGATATTAAATTTGCATCTTAACAAAAATTCGAACATTTTAAAGAAAATTAAAGATCAAGATCTTTCTTTTCCTCTTACTCTGGTAACCCCGGAAATGCAGTGAGAGAAGATACAACCCGTCCTTCTCTAGATAACAAGGATATACAAAGATCTTACTCTGGTAACCCCGGAGTAGCGGTGAGAGTAGATACAACCCGGCCTACACTAGATAACAAGGATATACATAGATCTTACTCTGGTAACCCCAGAGTAGCGTTGAGAATAGATACAACCCGTCCTTCACTATATAACAAGGATATACATAGATCTTACTCTGGTAACCCCGGAGTAGCGTTGAGAATAGATACAACCCGTCCTTCACTAAATAACAAGTATATACATAGATCTTACTCTGGTAACCCCGGAGAAGCGTTGAGAATAGATAAACCCCGTCCTTCACTATATAACAAGGTGTTAACCATTAATTTTAAAACCTCTATAAAATGTCGTCTTCTACTGGAATCTCCTGTCGGAGACAGCCAAACCAAATTTTCAGCCCGCAAATTCCATTGTCCTCCTCCGACGGAGCTTAAAATATTTTCGTTGTTGTGAAATCATTAAAGTTAAGCAAAATATTTTCATAAGAAGCATAAGTGAATTTCGTTAAATATTCAACTGTAATTCTGGAGAAGCGTTGAGAGAAGATACAACCCGTCCTTCACTAGATAACAAGGATATACATAGATCTTACTCTGGTAACCCTGGAGAAGCGTTGAGAATAGATAAACCCCGTCCTTCACTAGATAACAAGAATATACATAGATCTTACTCTGGTAACCCCGGAGTAGCGGTGAGAGTAGATACAACCCGTCCTTCACTAGATAACAAGGACAAACAAAGATCTTCTGCTAGTAATCCTCCTGTGTTCACAACAACATCAAACCTAGAAAGATATAACAAGAAAAACAATTAATTTTATCTAGTTTTGTATTTTCAACCCCATGATGTAAATATTAGATATTTTAAACCTTGTCAATTTGATTTTAATGTTTGAAATATCAAAGGTCTATGACATCTGTTTGCAAAGTTGTGAGGATTATAGAAAGATTTTCTTAAAATTTTCTTGCACAGTGAATTATTTACCATTTCTTTAAAGTTTTCATGTCAAAGCATCCCCCCCCCCACCCCTACACCAGCCATAGCTGAAATGAAAATGTTACTTTTGTTAAAAATGTCGAGCAAATGTTTCAAATGTTTCTAGTCAATGAAACGGGACTTTGTATATTTTTCGCTTTGTTATTTTCACTTTTGGATTCCATTTTGTTCCATTTTGTTAACCTGTTTCCTTGTGCAATGAGTTCCCTGACATTCTTCATATCATCTGCAACCAGATTTATTGAATATAGAGGCATACATGGAGAACCAGAAAACTCTGGAATAGGAAGACGACTTTTAGACTCAAGTTATGACTTTAAACATGAAATACAGAAATTGTGCAGCGTAAACAGACCCAATTAGCTTGATGACTGATTTAACTAGTAAAACTATCAAAAAACAACATCAAATAAGTTTCAGTATTCCACGGTTTTCTGGATCTCACTGTAGTTGACCCAAGTAGATCGACGAAGTTGAACCCCTTCTCTTGTGCGCAGAGTTGAGCTCAGGAGAAGTGGTTCAATTTGGTATTCGCGATGGTCGGCGTTTATATCAATATAATGAAGACGACTTTTTATTGAAGTTTTGATTTCTAGTTTTTTAAAATTACAAGGAGAAGCTGTAAATTGTGCATCTTCTGTTTGTTTCCATGTTTATGTAAATCCATTAACCATGCTGTTTGAACGCTTGCCAGACATCAAAAATTAAAACCGAAAGTCGTCTTTATGTATTTAGATATACAACAACGACTTTATGTCTCATTAAATCTGGTCCCTGGTATAAGATGCGAAGCTCCCAGGGTTCTCAGATAGTCCTGGGTGTAGAGAGGAGCTACACATGTTACATCACAACCCCAAACTTTGCAGAGTTGGACACATAACCTCTCCACAGCTCTCACTCCACCCCAGATAAATACTCGTTTACCTGACAAAATATTCAGAATAATTATGATAATTAACAACAACAACAACAACAACAACAACAACAACAACAACATCAACAACAATAACAACAATAACAACAATAACAACAATAATAATATTAATAATATAAAATTACGATGATAGTCCCTTTAAAAGAGGTTTTAGAACTTTTTTACCTGTTGAAGCTGGATAGGGTCCTAGACCTCCTGATGTGACTAGGAGGTCCCAGACCACAAGGCTGGTGTAGGGTAGGGTTGCCCCGGATTCAAAGGAGAGAGAGGTCGGATATATTCACTAGGAGTTATCCAAATCTTACAATCGAATTAAAAGTATTTTTTAAATCTGTTTCCAGGCATTTTTTGTTTCAACAATAAGAGGGGTATGAGAATTGTCCAAAAATTAAAATTTATTATATTCACGGCAAAAAAAAGTTAACAAAACGGAGTAAATATATATCCCACAGCCCACAATCTAACCGTCATGATTGACTATTTTAAAGACAACAGTCAAAACTTAGTTTCGAACAACGCGCTAGATTTGTGGCTCTTTCCATAGGCGCGCCAGTTTAATTTAACTCGTCAGACCCATTTCTTTCGATCATTTCGTAGCTATCTCTTGGTGATGGAATTGAGTTTTTGCTTACAAACTCATTTGTTCTAATCCCTATAACTTTGCAACCAGATGGTGTTTTCCTTTCATATTTCAAGCTTTAACTATTTGATCTGACATACTTAATAGTTTTAAATACCCAAGGTCTAAACATCGGGTTGCACAGATTAGAAAATCAAAGTTTGTAGCAAAAATTCATATCCTTTCCTTATATCCACGGAGTTACACTTAACCCCTTTAATCTAAAAAATTACGCTCTGGATATATTGATCAGTAGATGTGGCTTAAAGCTATCCAATCTTAAAATTTATTCTTTGGATATCTAGATCTAGATCGGTAGATGTTGCTTATCGCTATCAAAATTACAAGTTTACGCTCTGGATATCTAGATTGGTAGATGCATATGTGGCTTGTCGCTATCAAAACTAACAGTTTACGCTCTGGATATAAGTAGATGTGACTCATTACTATCTAAAAGTTTACGCTTTGGATTTATAATTAGTAAATGTGGCCGAGCGCTATTCAATCTAAAAATTTACGCTCTGGATTTCTAGATCAGTATAGATGGCGTATGGCTATCCAATCTAAAAGTTGATGCTCTGGAAATATAGATCAGTAGATGAAGCTTAGTGCTATCCAAACTAAAAGTTTCGATCACAGGGTAAGTAAAATCAAAGCTACATAAGTGTCATCGATAGAAGAGAAGGTTTCCTTGAGAGAAGAATGAAGGAGCTGAGAGAACCCTGATAACAAGGAGGAACTATAAACCAAACCCGATCCCCCGGAGCAAGATTGTGAACATCCGAACCTACTTCACTCACAACTCCTAAATGGCGTCACGCATATTGGATATAAAGCGCTCTGATTCAATGGATAAAGATGTTTAATGCCGATATTTTTTTGAATCATCTATCTATCTATAAAGAAACTCAATGGATAGAAGGATATTTTCAAAAGTTCTTTACTTTATCCAATATAGTGTACCCTGGGCTCAGAAAAATCATCAATTGAAATATCTAAATGAGCTGGAAACTCTTGTATTGAGGATATCAAGATCAACGTTTGATCTCGATCTTTGTTATTTTGCAGATTAATTTACTCTTTATTCGATATCCAGCAGTGTAATTAAAAAGTGCCCACAATGGATATCGATATCAATTGATCGGGATTATGAGTATCAAACACAAATGTTCACGCTCTGAGCTTATAACTATAATATAGATAAATGGCATTGAAGGAGAAAATATTATATTTTGTTTTATTATCAAAGGACAGAACAGGGGTCCGGACATGGTCCTTCCTAAAAGTTTAAAAACCAACCTGTCCCATCACGTCCCAGAACTATAGGGAACGTTTCTCTCTTAGTATTAGGATTGTACTTGTTGACTAGTTCTCTTAGTCCTCTTCCATACCCTTGGGATACCTGGAGTATATTAAACCTACTTAGTATTAGGGTTGTATTTGTTCACTAGTTCTCTTAGTCCTCTTCCATACCCTTAGGATACCTGGAGTATATTAAACCTACTTAGTATTAGGGTTGTACTTGTTCACTAGTTCTCTTAGTCCTCTTCCATACCCTTGGGATACCTGGAGTATATTAAACCTACTTAGTATTAGGGTTGTACTTGTTCACTAGTTCTCTTAGTCCTCTTCCATAATACCTGGAGTATATTAAACCTACTTAGTATTAGGGTTGTACTTGTTCACTAGTTCTCTTAGTCCTCGCTCATACCCTACAATGCACCCTTTTTCTTTAAGTTTCAACAAGTCATTTTCTTCGACTAAAAGGAATCATCTCTTTACCACAAACTATGATTTTCTAATTCGTATATTGTCCCAAACAAATGTCGGAGACCTTAGATATTTCAAACTTTGAATTATGTTAGCTCAAAGTTTGAAATGTTAAAGGTTTACAACATCAGGTTGCTGAGAATTGGAATTCGAAAATTTAGGTTTGTGGCAAAAACTCTATTCCTTTGGTCGCGGATTTTGAGCTTAAATCAACTCGTAGATTTCTACATGGGAGACAAATTGGACAGAATTTATACCATTTAGAATTTATGAATGAAGTAATACGTTCGCGCACCTCTGCCCCTTTAGTAAAAGTAAATTCAACCTATTTTAAGCATAAAGTCGGACCGCGTCAACCTTTTTGCACCGGCTAGTCCTGTCCATAGAGCCAGGTACAGTACAAACTGGGAGCGTAAAGGTTGACCCGGCTCAGAAATTCAAATGTACTACGGCTGCCCGTGCGTTGTCCTTCTCAGATTTATGTATAAAGGGTACTGTAGCAAAATATTTCAAGTCCTTATTAGTTTCTAAAGTTTTTGCCACAAACTCAAATATTATAATCCCTAAATCTTTCCAACCTGATAGTGTATAACTTTGAATATTTATTCAGAACGCGTAGTTCGAAATATCAATATCTTGGGTAAAAATCAGGGTTTGTGCAAGGGTCTCAAGAAAATTATTTTTCCCTGCAGTCCACCCACATTAAATAGTGTAGTGACTCCTGGTTCGTAAATCATTGGACAGACCTCAACAAAGCAAAGTTATCTAATTCAATTAAAGTAAATAATTAAATATTTATAGCACTATACCCACGCACAACCTTTGTGGTCCTAGTTTGGACTGTACCGCCATTTTACAATTACTAAAGTGTGTACCTTGATATCAATAGGGTCCAAGGATGCAGCTTTAACCCGGATTAGAATATCTGTATCTCCGAGTACTTTAGGAACCTCAACGTTTTGGACCGTGATACCCTACAAACAATATCTTGTATTTGTATATATATTAAGTAGTAATCTCACTAATCTCTGTTTGTTTTTGTTTCCGATCGAAACTCATAAGCCCATCTGCTGATTTGTCTCAAATATTAATTGTAAAACTTCTTAAAACCCCGAGAATATTCTATTTTCATTTTTAATAGTTCAAAAAGCCTTTACTGGGGAAGAACTTCCATGGAATTTTTTTTGAACAAATTCTATGATTGAGCCTTTTGTAGTTGATGCAGATTTCTTTTTCAGTTTTGAACAAATCCAATATTTACAAGTAAACCTTATGTTAAATGTCGTAACATTTAAATATGAAAATCAACTATACAAACCAGATTTGTTCGGAAAGATGAATCGAGTATTATTTGAAATAAAAGTCAAAAATTGCATTCAAGTGATTTTCTAAATCGTATGAAATATAAATTATTTGTTTAAGAAGAATATGGCTCTGATTTCATTAAGTACAAACTGATCATTAACATTTTTTCTCTCGATTTAGGAGGGACTTAGTACGTCTCAAAGTCTAGAAAAGCTAAACTATTGTGGCAAAAAAGGAAATTATTATGGAAAATAATTCAAATTATGGCAAAAATGAAAACATTATGGCAAAAAGGTGGTTTAAAGCTTAACATTTTAATCTTTTAATGTTTTTGCCTGGTGTTTTTTATGTGTTTCCATGTTTTAAAAAAAGTTGGATCATGCAGTATACATAAATAAACAGTCTAAACCGGAGTAAAACTAAATTAGAATTAAAAAAGACAGATTTTTTTAGATTTACGAAAAGTAAATGTCTAAAGAATGTAGATTGTAGTGTGTTTAAATCATAAAAGCAAAAGTTAATAATTAATACCATCCCTATAATAAAAGAAGCGAATCTCCCCAAATCTCTAATATGGCGCACATATATATATTGTCCCATGGTTATAATGCAATGAAGTTTATTTCAGAGGTGTACGCATCTTTTGTACTGCAGTGAACAGTCTCTTGGCGGTAATGTAAACACAACACGGATGTCGAAGCCTGACATGGGATCCATCTTCACATACAAATCAAAGAAATATTTTGTTCACAGGAAACTATTATGTGAATTATCAAAATTATCAAAATTTATTGCTTTAAACCTCCTCGGATACTAAACGAACACTGATGCATCTATTCTTGATTACAAATTCCGCCCAGAGAGAACTGGTTTCAATATGTACGCAAAGTATTCTCAACTGCAATTAACTTTACTTGCATTACATCCTTGTATTGTATATTATTTTACTCAGGATTTCTTATTACCGTGGTATTAACATCTAAATAATATTAAGCTCGAGAATGTGAATAAGAATTTGGGTTCATGCATACATAAATAGTGATTTCAGGGCTACATATTTTTCTTATATAGTGCTTTATTAGAAAACAATACAACATCGAAATTTTATATGGATTATATATTGTTTTTTTTATTTTTTCTTTAATCTCCCCCCCCCCCCATATAAATATTGTTTATGTATATAAAAAATTAATCCTCATATTATTCATATACAATAAAAATATGTAAATATAATTAAAGATAATCTGTATTACCAATCGCATACTTTAAACCCTAAGAATATACAGGGTTAATCACAAAGGATGAGACTTCAGAGACGACTGAACGGCATTGAAAGGCTACAGGCTGATTTTTAAAAGCCGATTTTTTTATTTGTTCGCCAAAGCAAAACAGGGTACAACAAAAAGATAACTTTAATATTTATTTACTCGTTATTATATGTTTGACAAAGAAATCAATTATCTCCAGCATTTTTAATCTTTCAACCAACTTCCAAATTTTGAACCCAATATTTGGACAATTTTACTATCTAAATCACATGGAGGACGAATTTAATATTTTAAAAGCTCGAATCGTATTCTACAGGATCTTCTCATATCTCATATCTGGAGTCCTTGAGAGTTATTGGAAACCTTAATTTAAAATTTTTTTTTGTTATTTTAGGGAGAACATGGAGAAAAGTACTATAAAATTACATATTTTTTACTCTGTTTGACCTGTTTAAGGGAGACCTGTAATCTATTTTTCTGTGTGTAGGCATTGTAGCATCGGGTATTATCAAATTTCAGACAGTAAACATGAAATTGGGAGATTTTTTATTTAATATTGCGAATTTTACAACCAATGAAACACACATGAGAAAAAATCGACTTTTATACTCAGCTCCAGGTTGGAAACACAAGTTCATCTTCTAATTACTATATTTAAAGTGTGTTAGGTTGTCAATAAAGTCTCATCCTGCAGTGGGTAACCCTGTAGATTAAAAAATCAAATTTTGATTTTTTTATTAAAAAATTTCTTTGACTCTTTCGCTATTCATAAAAATATATCTTTAAAACATAAAACATTAAATGAGAATAAACTCAACATAGTTAGAAAGGAACTTCATTAACTTGATTTTTATTTAGATAGTAAAAATATGAAACGGAAGAAAAGGGTTCGAAAGTGAAGGGATTTGAACATTAAACTAAAAATTTTATACCTCTAGGGTATCCTAGGATATCAAAGTTAAATTAAATTAGGTCTTCAAGAGATGGAGATCAATGATGAATCCCAAGTTCTAGCTTTAGAGCCAGAGCCAGGGAACATTTATGTTGGATACACATAAGCCCCATCGCTTGATATCGATATCCACTACGGGAACTCATGATTTGAGTACCTCTGAATTAACTATAAGTACAAACTGATAATTAACATTTTTAGGAGGGCGTAGTAGAGAGTAAAAATGTTATGGCAAAAAAACGAAAAACTAATGGGTAAAACGAAAACCAAAAATGAAAGAACTACGCATTTTTAGATTTAATCTTTTTGCGTTTTTATGTGTTTCTTTGTAACTTTGTAACTTTGATATCAAAAAGGAATTAAATGAGGTCAAGATGGAGACCAATACTTAAACATAAAAGTACCAGCTTTAGAGCTAGAGCCAGGGAACGTTTTGAATGCTTATAAGCCCCATAGTTTCAATAGAAGTAAATATTTCCATTTAGTGATAGCGCCGATTGAAGGATTCATATCTCTAATTGGATAATGAGATAGATAGAAAGATAGATGTTACCGCCATACTATTTCTATTGGTTCAGAATAGACAACAAAGACATGACTGAATCCTGATTGGATCAGGCGCTAATGGACTTGGCATACAGGAGTGATCGCTTGATCTCGATATCCACTTCTGGCACTTTTATTTTGAGGGTCAATGCTTGATCTTTTCATTTCCATGCGAGAAATCGTATAAAGATTAAGTTAATCTGCAGATTATCAAAAGATCGAGACCAAGCATTGATCTCGATATCCAGATTAAAAAAAGACGATAATTATTCTACAGTTTTATTGTTGTTACTGTAAATTGCATTTATTTAAAATAAATGAACCTGTATTCCGTCGTAGGAGTTTACTGTTGCAGCTCTCATCCATTCTGTGTTCTCTACCAGGGCTTTAGCTCTAAATTATTTCACGTGAAATTCTAAAAATAAAATTTTGATGTTTCGTTAATAATTCACTAATCCAATGGCGTAGATTTAGGGGGAGGTTATTCGATAGATTATCTGAATCTGATATCTGCTTAATACAAGGAAATATGATACTTCAGGATACTCTGGATTTTCCTGGGGTATTTTGTATAAATCTACATCTATTTATCTAAAGTTGTAATCTCTGTTTGAATGTTTTTTTTACCGATCATAACTCAGGAACCCCTCAACCCATTTGCCTAATGTTTTGACTGGGGAACTCGGGAAGCCAAGTTGAGTGGGTCGACTTTAATGGCGAAAATTTAGTTTCCCGGTCAAATCCTATAAGTGCGGGTCAACGGCGAGAGTAACTTTTAGTAACCTCGCCAGCGCTGGGTTCCCAAGCTATCTATATAATAAAGCTCTTCGCTTACATATATGTGCGCTGGGTTCCCAAGCTATCTATATAATAAAGCTCTTCGCTTATACATATATGTGCGCTGGGTTCCCAAGCTATCTATATAATAAAGCTCTTCGCTTATACACATATGTTAGCTATAGCTGGCCAAACGGCTGGACCGAAGGGACTGACATTTTTTTTGTTTGACATTTTTTTCCAAGGGCAACGCCGTGCACTTTATCTAGTATATAACAAAGCTCTCCGCTAATATATTTTTGTTTAGATATATATACAAATATACTTTTTTCGAAATTGAATTCTTTTTTTAATAGAAATTTTTGCTTATAATATATATATCTATATATATATATTAGCGAAAATATACATATTTGTTAGCTATAGCTGGCCATACGGCTGAATAAAATTTTTAAAATCTTTTATGGGAACCAATGGGGGTAACATAAGATAAAAAAAATTCCAAATTTATTTAGCTCCTTTAAAAAGTTATATTTTTTGATTACACGGGCAGTTCAGCTAGTCAATATAATAAAGATCTTTGCTCATATATATGTAAGCTATAGCTGGCCAAACGGCTGGATCAAATTAGCTGACTTATTTTGAGGAAACCCTTGTGCATTCCATGGGTAACATATGCTCATATGTTTTTATTCCATCGGGCATTTCAGCTGAAACCATGATTTAATGCCAAGTGCGGGTAAACGGCGGGAGTAACTATACGTAATATTAAAAAACTTGGCAACGCCGGGTTCTCCAGCTAGTATCACTATAGTTTGAGTAGAAGTAAATATTTCCATTTACTGATAGCGCTGATTAAAGGATTCATATCTATAATTGGAAATTGAGATAAATAGAAAGATAGATGTTACCGCCAAACTATTTCTATTGGTTCAGAATAGACAACAAACACATGACTGAACCCTGATTGGATCAGGCACTAATGGACTCGGCATACGGGAGTGATACAATATGTATTTTTTATTATTTTGAATCCTGTATACAGAAAATATTTTGAGATCGGATACAATGAAAACCTTAATAACGAATACATCGGAAGAATTTATCAAATGTCGTCTTGACAATTTTTCAACGAGTTCTATACTATATTACGTAAATTTCAGTATTTGCGAAAATAAATAAATAGCCCATGAATATGCGGGAACAGTTTTAAATAGTTCTATATAATCATTTAATTAAAAAACTAAATATCTGCAACATTCCATTATCAGAAAGTGGAGAATACAACATTTGATGAATTCTTTCGATGTATTCGTTATTAAGGGTTTCACTGTATAAAACTGCAAATCTTCTCATATCTTGCATTCTGTATTCTGTATCCTGCAGTTTCATATCCAGTATTGTTGATTCTGTATCTTATATTCTATAGGTTGTATCCTGTATCAAGAATATATCATGATACAAGATTAGTATAAGTGATCTTGTATCTTGTATCAAGAAAGTATCATGATACGAGATTAGTATAAGTGATCTTGTATCCTGTATCAAGAATAGATCATGATACAAGATTAGTATAAGTAATCTTGTATCCTGTATCAAGAATAAATCATGATACAAGATTAGTATGAGTAATCTTGTATCTTGAATCAAGAATGTATAATGATAACCTTAAAACATGTCTACGCCATGTACTGTACATTGTATAATGTATACCTATTAGAAACAGCTCCGATACGAAACCCGAAGTATGCTCCTAGAGCCAACCCACCTAAACAAAGGAGAATCATATATTTTCTTTTACTCAATTTAATTTAATTTATATGTTAAAATTAGTAACTTATATGAAATAAAAATGCTTAAATATTTATAACAAACCAGAAAATTTTTTACTTATGATAAACATAGTTTGAATTAACAAACATATATTTATATTTTTTTTTTACAATTACAAATTGAATACAAATTACAAATCTAATGCAGAGACAGTTCATGGGCTATCAGGTTTAGGTACTCTTCTATTGGGAAGAGTATTATACTGTAGGACAATGTTAGCAATCCTCTCATTGGGTTCGAATTCTAGCTGAGCACATTTTAACCGAACATCTATATATAAATTTGGCTTGTCTGTTTGTTTGTCTGTTTGTGTGTATCCAATAAACGTCAAAACGGCTGAACCGATCGGGCCCAAATTTTTTGTGGGACATCACGTGACCACAGGGAAGGTTTATGAATGATCAAAATTTAAGATATTTGTCTCCATCAAAATTCGATCTTCATTAAATTTTTGAAAATTTTGAAAATCCACGAAATTTTTTGTGAAAATCCGCGAATTATTTTTGTTTTGTTTTACGATGTACACAAAGAGAACATGTTCACAACTAATTTAGAAGATGGGCGCGAAGCGCCCTTTAAGGCTAGTTTCCAATATTTCACTTCTGTAGACGAGGCATTGGCTACATAGGTGTAGTTGTTGCTGTCTCGAATCATTGGTTTACCCTTACTTGTGGTCTCAAAGGTCACCCAAGGGTCCTCCATTGTGAGAAAATATGGAGCTGAACTTGTGTTAACTGTTCTGTTTTGAAACAATGAGAAAACTAAACTTGGGAATTTTCATGTGAAAATTTCCCGCATTTGCAATAAAAAAAGACAGATTTACATCTTTTTAAAAATTAGAAAATTATGACAAAAGTAAAATATAGCCAGTGTAATTATGACAAGTGTAACTTATGGCAAGTGTTACTTATGGCAAAAGTATTATGTCAAGTATAATTATGGCAAAAATATTATGGCAAATGAAACTGAGCCTCTTACAGTTATCCACAGTGTACAGTGTACATGCTCTATCAGCAATATTGCCAATTACTCCTTTTTTGCGAAAGCTAGAAGCAAGCGCATGTGACTTTAAAAGTACGATATGTAAGGCTACAAAATAGTATAGATTATTATAAATTTAGATATATAAAGTAGTAATCTCTGTTTGCTTGTTTGTATTTCTGATCATAACTCGTAAACCCTAAGGTTGTTTAGGTTAGATATTCTGGATGTGCTCCAATATAGGTAAATGTCGTCTTTCTTGCAACGAACACTCTAAATCCTCATATGACGTCACTGAAACTAAACTGACAATTATCACGTTTATCAAATATTGAGTGAGCAAACAAGTTTGAAGTTAAGAAATGCAATTCTAATTCAATTTTTCAATTTTTGAGTTTGTCTATAATTTAGTTAGTCGTAAAATGTATTATTCTTTAAAGTAAGCAGTGACGTAATAATGAGGATTTAGAGTGCCCATTGGTAAAAAGGTCGTCTTTACCTACATTGGAGCGCATTAAGAGTATCTTACCTTATCATACAACCTTGACTCTACCTAAGAAGTATCTAAGGTTGTAGTTATTGCAGTACAACTTGAACTACAGTTTTATTCTCCAGTACCTAACATACCTACCTACTCTACCTATATACCCTACTTACCTACCTACCTACCTATCTACCTACCTACCTACCTACCTACCTAAGAAGTATCTAAGGTTGTAGTTATTAATGAGCTGAGATCCTTGTTGTACAGCTTGCAGTACCGTTTGATGCTTCAGTACACTTGACACAGTCTCATTACCAGCCTCTGCTAGACTCTGCAGTTCACCAGAGTTTAACACTGATTGAACAAACTAAACAAAGTAGTTTAAAGGGATTGATACATTTCTGAGCGCTAGCATTCCCAAACCCTTTGTCTCAGAAAACAGAGGTTTTATTGAAAACAAAGGGCTCAGTGTTTCGCAATTTCGCTTAATAGAACTGACAGGGACAAGCTCAAATGTTCTATATATTTTCTAATCCCTATATCTTTGCAATCTGATGGTGTAAACTATTTGATCTATATACTTTATACTTTGAAATATCAAATTTCAAGACAGAAAAACGAAAAGATCAATTTTGCTGGAACAAAAGTTTAAGGGTACTGTCGTGAATGGGGCCTATACCCCTCTTTAGATGGGGGGTCACTTGAAATCCTGTGTACAGTCCCTTTAAAGAACCTGATTATTGATAGTATTCTCTATCAGAGCTGCCATATTTAGTATTCTCCTTTCATCTGACAATAATTATGAAATATTACAATACTAACATAAAACAGATTTTTAACAAAAAACACAAAAATTTAATTATAATTTTGAGTGGAACTTAACATTTTTATTCTGTGGAGCTGGATTCAATTGAGTCTACAATATCTTTAATAATTAAATATCTTGTTTACATGTGTATTTTGTACAAAAAAAAATTAATTTAAAATCTACTGCAGTGAATTAAAAAAATATTAATGCTTCAATTAACTAAGTTACACAAGGCTGTTTTCCGTCCATAAATAGTAACGTAATATGATTTGTAATTTTTTGTTGTATATTGAATACAAAAATATACAATATTGAAAGGTGTACTTATTTACATGTTAATTGAATGTTTAGACGCAAAGTATGAACTGATCAGCTGTCTATGGTGACTATACAGGCTGACCCTTCCATCAGCTGATTTCAGGTGAATTCTGGGGATATCTAACTGTACCTGTACCTGTACCTGTACCTGTACCTGTACCTGTACCTGTAAATATTATTAGTCTCTAGAGAGAACTGAAGATTAGTGTTCTCCGAGGATTAATTACAATTATATTGATAAACCAAGGAAACCTATATACTCCACCTCAACCCTGAGATATTGTAGCAAAACTGGGAACCCAGAAACCATGTTTTACACACGAGGTTCGAATTCGAGGGGATCAGATATAAAAAGTGTAATATCATTGATTCACGACGTTATTCACTAAATCTTGATTATTTGATTATCGAAGATTATTAGAAGATTAAAAAAAACCCAGTCGAAACTTTTCTATGACGCGGTATAGATTTCTGTTAAAGGGACAGTGAGCATAATTTCAAGTGACCTTTGATTAACCCTATTCCCGCTGGGGGGGGGTCAATTTGACCCCCCCTGTAGTTTTTTTTACAAAACTCAAAAAGTATTGGTCTGAGGCTGTTGAAATTTTCTGACTTTTCTTACATACCCAAAGCCCTCCCTTTAGGCCTAAAACCGGGCTTTAATACTAACTGCCTGAGTCCTCAGGCACACTGCCTGAATGACTGCTTTTGCCTGTAACAAACTAAATCTTTGTTTTGACCCACTTTCACTTGTCAGATTTTGATGAAATTTAGCTTTTTGGAAAGCCTATGACATAAGGAAACGAATTGCCCAAGTTTTGCGAAAAAAAAATTGCAAATTTTTTGCAAACAACCTGTCAAAGAAAATTTGCACATTTTTAGTTTTTCTTGATTAAAAATCAGGTTATTTAAAATTTTGCAAAAATTTTTGCATATTTGAAATGGCATGGTCAAGGGCTTTTCAAAAATGTATAATTTGTCATTTTTTGGACAAATTTTTTTTTGCAAACATTTTTACTATAAAACTGGATTTTGCGATAAAAAATTCGATTTTCGCAAATTTGCAAATTTTTTTGCAGATTCTAAAAGTAGAGCACAAGAGCTTTCTAATGATGTATCATTTGTCATATTTGGACATAAAACATGGGATTTAGAGGGGGGGGTCAAATTGACCCCCCCCCAGCGTATCCTGGTTTTCAAGTACCCCAGCGGGGATAGGGTTAAAACATGGCAATACTTGGATACAATCAAACAGACAAGCTAAATTTATATATAGATAGATGAACTGTCAAAAATCAAACAGTTAAAGAATATCATAGGTTTACACTTTGCAGTTTCAAAGATGTAAGGGTTTGAAAATCAGAGTTTGTGATGAGCATTTTGGCAGAATTTTTTTTTAAAGAAATATTGGTTCCCAGGAACTTTTTCATTGGTTTATTATTCTTTTCTTTTCCTTGAACATAAATCTTCACAGATATTAGATTGTTATTAAAAAGTTAATAAAAATGTTGGATCAACCTATAAAAATAAATATTAAAAGAAAAACTGGTGTTTTTAAAGTTATTCCTAACTTTTGTTCTAATGATAGACATCTTTCTTTATGGGTGGTTTTTAAGTTATTTATAGATTTTGTTCTAATGATAGATATCTTTAGTTCATATTAGGTCGGGATTAAATTTTGATTTTGTCTTTTAAACCCTAATCTACATTGACAACCATTGTGCACACTTAATTTCATCTTAGTTAAACTCTTTTTTTCCAATACAGCTTTTTAAAAAGAAGAATAGTTTTTATATTCTTAATCTTAAGTTACTCGTTTCTTAAGTGAGTTTTTGCTACAAAATTTGATTTTCTAACTCCTATATCTTTGCGACCTTGTATATTTCAAAATCTTAATTGTGTTTGATCAAGCAGTATAAGATAAACAGATTGGAAACTTTGAGTTTAAGTTTGAGTGACCAACATTGCAGTTTATGCAAACTCAAAAAGAAAATTTCGAAACCCATGCTCAATGCTTGTTTGCGAAAGCTGCCTGTGATTTGGCACGTGCCTCTTTCCCCTNCCCCCCCCCCCCCTTACAGTTGTTCCAGGGGAAAGTCTCAATGTCAAGAAATGATTGCGAATGCATGGAGAAAGCTAAAAAGCGCCTGCAATCAAGGGTATTAATCTTTAATCTTTAAATTAGATCTTTTCATGCAATAATTACAATGAGTTTAACAAAAAAAATGAGCTTTTGTTATTTAATTAATAATTTGTGAATAATAAATTAAAAACGTAATAACCTACGTAGTCATCACATTAGTAACTAAATAAAATAAAAAATTATATAATAATTATAAAAAATTTAAAAATCATTACTAATCTACATAAACATTTCAGGGTTTCCAATATTTTATCAAAAACATCTCGTCAAATTTAAAAGTCAATTCTTTTGTCAAAGCTACAAAACGTGAAAAGTTTCAAAATGTCAATTTTACAAAACTTCAAATGTTACGAAAAATGTTTAAACGTTAAAGAAATCAAGAAATAAATGCTACAAAACGTCAAATGTTACCAAATTTTAATGCTAGAAAGTGCCAACATTTTAAAAGTTATTAAAATGTGAACGTTACAAAACGTTCAATTTTACTTTTAATTTAGAACATCAACATGTCAAATATTAAAAAATCACATAGCTTTAATTATACGTCAAAACAAATAAAAATTAAAACGCTACAAAACATCGAGTTAACGTCTTGAAGCTTAAAACGCTTGAAACTGAAATTAATTGAAAAAAAAATAACTTTATATTGGTCGCTGTGTGTAGTGTATAATGTTTAAAGCATTGGGCTTGTAACCTTGTAATGCATGATTTATAAATATCTATAGTTAGTATGTAGAAACTAATTCAGGTCTCCGAAATAATAAATTTTTAATGCGTCTTTATTCATTCTTTATGTTTTTTTTTACATTGTCAGCAGTAGTCAGACCAATAACTAGGGGGGGGGGGGCAGAAAGTTATCAAATGAAAATAAATGTATTTATATTTACATTGTTTTGAGCAATATTTTTTTGTTTGGTCCACATTTTGTTAGTTTAGTTTTGAATTAATAATAAATTAAATTTTAAAATGATGTCAATTCCATAAATAAATTAACTTTTTTAGATTTTTTGGTTTTTTAATCATGAATGAAGTTTTGAGTTTTGTTTTGTGCCAATCTAAAGTATATTAAACAAAGACGATTCCTTAAAAGAAATTGAGTTTTGTCACAAACTCAAATTTCTCTGTTTAATAAAACCCTAACTATTTGATCTTCATATCGATTATTGAAAGCATTTAAAATCTAACATAATGTTCAAAATTTCGCAATTATTTCAGCAAGTTTGATATTACTAACAATAAATTTAGCGTATTTGAACTTTAAATTTTATAAAACCAGATCGGGAGCGCTAATTCGAACTTTATAAAATTGTTTTTGGTCCATGGTCAAAGGGATTAATAATTAATTTAAAACACTAAATATCTAAGATGTTTGAAATGATTTGTTTAATTCCTGACTTTTGTAATTTTTGTTAAATATTGAATACGTTATGTCTCATCTAATCTAATATTTAAAGGACTTGTTTTGACCCCACTTCACAAACTAATCTTTTAATTAAACTCTTAACTTTTAGAAAAAGATCAAAAACAGGAATTAGGATTTTTTTTTTTAAATACATCGAAAAAATCAATAATATTTTTATTTTTGCAAATAATTGATAAACTAAATTCTTAATAAATGGCTCGGTTTTAATTTCATTCAATTTTTATTCAATTTTTTTTGTTCCCAAAAATATAAATTCATTAAAAGTTAAAATGAACAACGTTCTATGGATTAATGTTATCAAATGTTTTACATTTATCTTAAAAGAACTGTAAAGGAAAAATGAAAGAGGTTAAAGGCTGAAACCTATGCATTTTAGGAGTTGAGTAAGACCTATAAGAGTTCTATCTGATGTTCCTGTCTCGTGAAATTGATATACAACTGTGTTAAAGTTGTACCAAAACTACCAGATTTGGTATGATCAATTATGTTTTGAACAAATCATATGTATTTATCTTTAGAAAATACGCAACCAATCTAAAAACTACGATAACTCAGAGGAGCCTGAATAACTTAGGTTTGCTTCTAATTTTATTTGAATTTAATAATTTTTCATTTTGAATAGATATAATTGATAATATAATTGAAACGTCTGTATCACGTGACAAGAATTTTCCCGAATGGCAGTGCAGTATCATTGTCACGTGATACAGACAAAGAAAGCTTATACCTATACCCTCAATTTTTCCTTAACAGTTCCTTAAAGCTAGCTGAACCCTATTTTCTAAATCGATATTTTAAATAATAAAAAATAACTTTATGTTTGTGTTGCAAGATGAAGATAAATTTTAAGAATTTGCAAACTTGCAAATTTCTAATTTTTGTTCTCTAGAATTGATATTATTCCCCAAATATGTGATTTTTCTACAGCATATTAATTATGTCATGGTAAGAATCTGTAATATAAGCATTCCACACATCTCATCTCATGTATCCGCCTGCAGACTAATGATTAACTCTAGTTCTTAGAGTACGTTTTTTATTAATTTTTGGTACATTTTTGGTACAATGTAACAGTTTGCCGTTTAGTATGGTGATTTTAGATACATATATTACAAGTTTAAGAATATATATATATAAGCCAGTATAAGTAATGTTTAAGAAATATTCACATTTGATTCATTTGATAAACTTTTAAGATTTTTTGGCTTTTACGTTTACTGTATTTAAAAAAAATTCTTAAATTTATTTACCCCTTTTATTCCAAATCTACAACATTTTTTTTGGTTAAAACACACTCTAGATTTAAAAATCCTAACTAAGCGATAATAAGTCGCCTAAAATTGTTCGTTTTTTATTTTTGATATTTTCTAAATGCGCTTTTTTCCTTTGTAGCTAATAATTGTCCAAGCTAGACATTTATTACCCCCCACCTCCCTTTAAGCCACAAAGTATTAAAGCCTACAGGTCATGGTACCTCCCAGCGCGGAAAGATAATCTCAGGTTTACCTTTTTTATTCAAAAGTTTTAAAGTTAGATT